GTGTCACTCATAATAAATCCAACAGTAATGCATGGGAGGGGGTAAAGGTTTTTTGTTTAACATCCAGACATACTAAAAAACATATAAAATAGTTAAAACAAGAAGACTCTCTGCGTATGAGTTTTTATTTCACTGCTGTCAAAGCTCATCTTCCTTGTTAGACAATGCCACCCCAAGATGGCGTCCTGTTCGCTTGCACATTTGTCTCCTCCTCACCCACGGCGGCAAAATCACTCTCCTTTCGGCCAGTTCAGGTGCCAGCTCCTTTGCAGAATGCCACGCACGAGCCCGGGTGGGGGGTGCCTGGATGCCAGCATTTGGTGTGTGTGTGTGAATGTATTTGCAGGGAGGGGTCAGCTGTGCGGGAGGCATCGCCAGTTGGCAGGCTGGCACACAATGGCTGGCACGATAAGATCCTCCCTCTTTTGCGGGCAGATTTCCTCGCCCATATCTTTTGTTTGGCTTGTTTGGGTTGCGGCTCATCCTGATAAAGGCCACTTTGTTTAGACAACAAAGCGCGAGGGATGGAGAGAAGAGAGAGATAGAGAGACAAAGAGGTAGAAAGAGAAGAGAGAGAGGGGGCATAAAAAGGCGGCACAGCGGGGAGAGCGCCAACGCAGAAAGAAAAAGAAGATATGGGGAAAAAAATCTACAAATAAAAAAAAGATACACTTTTCACCAGATAAGACGATATGGTCGCAGATACACACTGAATAGTAGATATACACAGAGACGGGTATGAAAAGGTACAATGGAGGACAGATACTGTTGCAGGCGCAGGACAGCGATAGACAGATAGTGAGGAGAAGAAAGAAAGAGAGGTTTGGAGAAAGGAGCAGGTTCTGCCGGCTGTTGGAAACCAGCCCAAGTAGTGTGAGGTCATCAACAAAGCTGCGAATGATAGAAACCAGGAGCAGGGGAGGACATGGAACATGCACGCACACACACACACACGGCGCATGTACAGTCATTTATGCATACTGTCAAGACTTCCATGACCCTGTGCCGTACACACACACACATTTATTTTTCATGCATTTCCAACAAGGGACACGCTGGAGTCTCCTGCAGCGGAACAGGAAAGAAAAGCAGGAGGACACTGAGCAGAAAGTGTGCTCGGCCACATCAAATATTTACTCAGGAGCAGCTGTATTGTCGAAACATTACGCATCGGAGCTGCTCCGTAATTAGGTCGATATTTTCTGCCCCTACTCCCTCTCCCTGTTTCCCTACTTCTCTGCGAGTCCACCCCTCTCCACCTCTCCTCCACACTGCCCTCCCCTCGCCTCCCCGGGCTGCTGAAATGCGTCTTGGCTCGGGACCCATGCCTCTGGCAGCCAGAGTGTTATACATGTGCACAGAACCCCGCTCGGCATAAAATGGCTGCCAGACAGGCTTCTCCTCCTGAAATGTCGACAGCGGTATGCATCTGCAGGGTGTGCGTGTCGCGCGTGCGCACAGTTTTTTTGTGGAGGATATCTGTACATGTCTGCGAGTGTTTGTGGGCTGGGAACGTGAACTACCGCTGTCCAAAAAAAAAGAAGAAGAAGAAAGTTTCACAAACTACAGTATGTGGCTAATTTAATCCACACTGTGAATGTGTATGTGATCCGTAATTTAGTAGGAACAGAATGGGTATCATGCCAAAAAATGAGTGGGTGGGTTAGGGAGAGTGTGTGTGAGTGTTTAAGTGATTATAAAATCCAGGCGAGCAACACACTTGGGTGTGGAGACGCCTCACGAGCACTGAGAAACTTTCTTGCCGAGCCAGATTTCTGTTGCCATTACCCCTAATTGCCCTAATCGTTACTGTGGAATGATAAGTATCCCACCGGACAAGAAGGTGTAAGAACTCATGGACACATCCAAAATATCCACAAGCCCCCTCTGCTACTTTTTCCCCTTGCTATTTTTTATTTTTTTTGCTGAGTAACAGCAGATAATCTGATTCATACGTGGTACAGCTTTTTTCACTTCCCTCATGAACTGGTTTGTTTATTTAAACAAGTGGCAGGGACGGTGGGTGCCAAGAAATGTTGTTTTTGGAAAAGGGCCGTGTGTGTATGTGCGTGTTTATGTGCGAGAGAGAGAGAGAGAGAGTTTGTGTGTGTGGTGTCTGGCTCTGTGACTGAGCCCTGCCAAGCTTCCAGGGCAAAGCTCAGCCTCCTCGGCCGCAACTGTTTATTTGCAGGTTACACTACTGTTTATTTGAAGACTATCAGATTGGCCCGGGCTTCTGCACAGGACACCTCTGAGATACAGATAACAGGACTCATGCTCCTCATACGGCACTTATTTTAGCCACTTTTTTAACTTTTTAAAAATAAAATCTGCAGTTGATTTATCTGCACATAAACTAAACAACTACTAATCCAGGGTAATCTTGTTTTTTACCTGTGAATGATTTAAAGATTAGGTTTTATTTGAATACCTGTTGAGTTCATCACTGTCTTAAATCGATAAAAAGAGCAAACTTGCGGCCTGGCTGACATATATGCATCTACACTGGATACTCAATTATAAAATCCCACTAAAACAAGAAGAAGGAGAAAGAGCATAAAACAGCCCTTCCCCGGGTCAAAGGTAAAATGTAATGCAATAGAGGAGGTGTTTCCAGGTCTGGCACAGGCCTGGCAGATGCTCCATATGCTTGCATCCCACCTTGAGTCATCCAGGTGGTCTCTCCTGGTGCTACAGTGGGGCCTCATGCTGGAGGATGCTTCCTGGGATCTCTAATTGCTACGACCATCTGCTCTTTTTGTCATGGCTGCCTGTTCAGCCCTCGACGAAGATGAGGAAAAACAAACTGGTGCACCTCTCCCACCTTCACCTCTCTCCTGTGCCCCCCACCGACCCCCTATCTTTCCCTCTCAGCAGTTCTCTGGGAGCGAGCTTGGGGTCGGCAGTCATAACTAGACTGATGGATGACTCTCAATGTGGCATGGGGGTGGTGGTGGTTGTGGTGGTGGGAGACAGGGAGACAAGGCCACAGAGCTGCCTGCAATCACTCTGTGGACATGTGCCGTGCCAAATCCACACAAACCTCGGCTCACCCACAAAAGCTGCTTTACGGACTTTGGGTGTGTGTGTGGGTGTGTGTGCGTGTGTGTGTGTCAGGGGCAGGAGTGGGGGAACCTTTCACTATCAAGGGCCATTTAAATTTTTATAACATCCTTCGTGGGCCATACTAAATTACTGAACACATATATCACTCTAACCTCTTTAAAGCAATTGTTTGAAATTCTTTGGCAAGGCAACTGATGTCAGATGGTAGTGATGATAATGATGCAGCCAGTTTGCTGTCGGTCCATCTTGAGCAAAGCAGTTTTGACAAGAACTGCTGACATGCTCTTGTCGGAAAACGGAAATCTGTACTTTTTGTAGAACTCGAGCAGAGCGAGGTTGTTGGACTGATTTCACATTGTACGTCTTCTGGTTTCACATTGAACAGTGTAGCAAATATGTTCAGCTCCTTTTGTGTACTTGTCATGTGTTGAAACCTCTCATGCTTTGTTTTGTATCAGTGGCACTGTTTTATATTTAATTGTACAAAGACCATCAGTTGAATTTTGAACTAAAACTCGGACAAAACGAGCAATTTTAAGACATCATTTTAGATTCTGAGAAATTGCGATTTACAGTTTCAAGACTGAGAAATAGTCAGAAAAGAACCCTTCAACCTCTGCTACTCTGAAAGGCTGGAAACAGATCCTCTAAAAACTCGCAAAGCACAAGTCGAGTATTAACTTTTTTACGAAGCTGAGGGGAGATATAGTGTAAGAACATAACTTGTACACTTCTCGTACGTTTTTAGGGCTAAGCACCCAGAAAAAATGGGGATTTTTTTCTCTTAACGTATGGTCCTGTTCCCTCCCTACTTTGTCATTGTTGAGCTTCAGCCAAGAACATTCTGTTTTTGCAGCGCTGTTTAATAGTCAAATTTAGTAGAGGGGGAACAAGAGTGAGAGGGAGAGAGACATAGAGGGAGAGCAAGAAAGGGATAAATCTTTTTTTTTTCTTCTTTCTTTTCGCTCATACCCCCCTCCTCCCCACTTCCCTCTTTTCTCTGTTGCCTGTGTAATGCAGCTCATGAGAGCTGTGGCAGGAACATGGATGTTGTTGCAATACAAGGGTATCTGAGTTCACTGTTTCCATCTTGTCGTCTCGGCTCAGGCCGGTTTGAATCCGTGTGGGGGTTCACTCAAGACGCTGTACTCACAAAAACGCCATCACCTCATGCATGGGTGGGAATCAGACATTGTTTCATAATGTTAATTGTGATGTTTCACAACTTTAACGGACCGATAGATTCCCCTCCCAGCAGGGCTCGGAGGTAAAAGACGTCAATCCGGGCCATCTCATACCAAAGCCTGTGCACCGTAGCGGGTGGAAAGAATTCCACTCATGTTTCCTTGTGTTTTCCCGCCCCTCTTGTCCTCTCTCCACATTTTGTTCTATGCTCGTACCTTGCACAGCAGGACTGAACACATTCTGTACCCACCCAACACTCCCTCGGCCCCCTTTGAAAAATTACCTTGAGGTCTGCCGGTAAAAAACATTCAGGCTATCCTGTGTCAGACACAGAGCTTTTTTCTTCTTCGGTTTGCCCTCCCATTCAGGATAGAACTGTTCAAACAAAGCTGTCTTGTGTAACTTACAGTAGGTATGCTTTCCTCGACTTGCAGATAAGGAAAAAACATTTAGTCACCCCGGAAGGAAATTTAAGAAAACAACCTGAGTCCTGAACTGCACTTTGTCCTTTTGTGCCTGTTGATAGAAGTTGTTTCTTTATTTTGAAGTGACAGTAGGAGGCAAGCAATGATTTAAAGTAAAAGTTCTGATCGTTGTATTTTTTATAATGAGGAAACAATGTTTTCACGCAGCCATGAGGTTCTTAAGTGGAAATAATCAGTTCTGAAAGGAAAACCCGAGATGGTATGTTGTTGTCCTCATACTATACTAATGTGGCCCCTCCTCTCGCTCTCTCTACATGTTTGCAGACTCACAGCAGTCAGGAAGTCCCAGTAACAATGAGCCAGGCAAGAACCCTCTTCCAGGTATGTACAGTATCAGTCCTCTTTCCTCCTCCCATCTGTCACTGCTCCATTGTTCCTCTGCAGCGCAGCCGCTGGACAGTAAACTGTGCACAGCATAACTTGCCTCATTTGAATAGTGCTGAGCTGCCGTGAACTCGGTGACTTGCAAAGTAGCAAAGCCGACACTGTAATAAAACCAGGCTGCAGCCTCGTCACAAACCATGTGCTCTACTGTCAAGTTGGTAAAAGCAGCTATTTTCAAATGACAAAAACACATTCATGCTAATAGTCTAGTTATTAAACTAAGATCAATTGACATATTTAATGTAAAAGGTGTTAATTTAAATTTGGGCTATTATTCAGCTTCTCTGTGACATCCACAAGCCGAGGCCGTAGTTTTTAACTTTGCGTGGACTCAGGAGAAATAAAATTTTATAGGATTGTTAAATTTGAATTGTCATCATCCCAGTGGCAACATCAAACACAGCGTAAAGTGTTACAGCAGATTGCAACTTCTGCCAGCGACCGAGCGCATCAAGGTGAGTCAAGCCAGCGGAGCCGATCCGCGGAATGTATTCCCTGACAGAGCTGTTCCCCTGAACTGACCCGAGCTGTGTCGTCACAATGTTGGTATGAAAATAGTTCCAGAATCATAATTAGTTTTCTACCTCAAGAGCAGGTTCTGCTGAGGCGTGTGCCAAGGAAAACATGCCAGTGAGCCAATGACTCAGGCCTTGGAGGCCTTCGGCAGTGGCACGGTTCCCCCCCTGCAAAAGCCGTTGGCTCACAGGAGTCATTAGGCTTTGTAGGTACCAGTCGAGCTGCCTATCTTTCTGGCATGGCCCGAGGGCCCTCGGCACAGCATCAAAGAAGAGCTGGAGTCATTTGGGTGTCAATAACACATCTGACTGTTTCACTTGACTGGCAGGCTCTGATTAGTGTTGTACCAAACGTTTCAACATTGCAAGAAATATACATTTTGATATGAATATCAGTCTAAAAATAGTTTTTCTGAAACAGGAGTGGAAAAATCTGACTGTGCTGAAACAGCCTCAACTTGCTCGCGAAGCAATGTCCTCTTGTCAAAATCTATCTGTGAGATCAATACCACAAAATAAATGTCTCTGTAGGGTGGATACTTATTGCTGTGATAGTGTATCTTAGTATATTAGTGTAATTGTCAACAGTTGTTAAGTTTTATGTGTGTATCTGATCGACTGTGTTCAACAGAGGCTCATTCGTTCCACTCAGTAGCAGGAGTTTGAGTCTGACTCACAAACTGCGTCACTCCGTCGTCCTTACACACCCACACACATACACACATACACACACCCACACAAACACACACACACACACACACACACACACACACACACACACACACACACATACACCATACACACCTGTCGTGCCACTCTTTCTTTGTACTGCACAGAAGGGTTTGGTCCACCGGAATAGAAAATATTGAAGAAAAAAAAGACGAAGGAAAAGTTTTATTTTGTCGGCTAGATTTAAAATGTAATAAAAAGAAGAAAGTTAAAAGTGAAAATGAAATACATTCAAATCAAAGACAGATTGACAGAGCACCTGAAAGCATTTTACTCTAAAGATCATGTTTTACTGATTTATTTCTGATCATGCACAAGCACATTTCTTTATGGCAAAATAAAGAATGATCCAGCCATCATTTTTTTATCATTTTGCATTTAATCCAAAATTATTGTTCACTTAACACCCAAAGAAATACATAATACAGAGGCAAGTCCTTATCCTTAATTTCATTCTATTCTTTTTTATTATGTATCTAGTAAATTGCAAGGATATCTGATTTGTTTAACTCATGCTCAAGCTCATGAATATTGTATTTCTGTTAATATTTCCCTGTATGTGCCTGTGTCCACAGTCTACTTGGAAGACAGCTTCATCAAATCAGGAGTCTTCAGTGTTTCAGAACTGGTGCGAGTGTCCAGAAGTAAGAACATAACTATCACGTTCTTATTAGTTCCACCCTGCACATACACATGCACACACACATGCACGCAAGCACGCACACACACAGGTGTTCTTCAGTTATTCTTTCAATTATCAGTGATCAGCCCCAAACTCAGCTTCATGCTGGACAGAGCTGCGACGGCCAATGAGTGGTTATCCTGCCTAAATAAATGGGGGAAAGAGCAACAACTGCACTGTCCCTGGGGCTGAGACGTAAAAAATAAATAAATAAATGCATGTGTAGAATCACCAGTCCGATCTGAAGGAAACCACTTCAGAAATTTGTTGACTTTCCCCCGAAGTAAGATTCACAACACACTCGCCGTACTTATGCTGCACATGTTTAACGTTTCATGACACCAGCTTGTTTTACGGCTCAATCCAGAGCGGCCGTGACGTGACGCCGTCAGCTCATCCCACCAGGGCACTTAAACAAATGCTGTTTATGTCTCAGTTAACGTCTCGATCTTTGAATAAATAAAGATGATTCATCACCGCAGGTGTTTGGTAATTGGTGCAGATTGCTTGAACCTCAGCCGTGCGCTCGCATCAGTGGAACGACACGATTTGCTCGATGTGGTTTAGCTGTTACTAAGTAGACGATGCACCCGCCATCTTTTCTAGTTCAGCTCCTGTCTAATAACGTCTTTGTTGCAACCAAGTTGATATGAGAGTCAGGGTGGTGTCAATCAATCGAGTCTCAACACGCCCACGCAGCCATGAGAAGAGGTCTCACCAGGTGATACAACTGAAAACATCTGTGTGAATTGCAGAGCTCATAAATCTGTCCTCACGTTTCACACACTCGTTTTTTTAAACAACAGAAAATATATATTGTTGGATTTACCTTCAAATGTCCCAAAAAGTCTGCAACTTCTCCCCGAATCCTGACATCTATCAGATGTATCACATCCACCGCCATAAAACCTTAGAGTGGCAGTAGATCCAGTTTGGCCAGTCTGCTTCGCAATAAGAGAATACCTGAGCACACAGCCATCTGCACGGACCTGCGTGTGTCTGCATCAACATGTCTGCCCTCTGCAAAGTCGTTGACAGTTGTTCTTCCAGGAGTCCTCTTCCCTCTAATAGTTGAGGACACCCTGAGGCACCGTTTACCTGTGCTGTCCCCAGCCTCAGCTGGAACATGCCTGTGGTAAACAAAACGCCTGTGTTCGGAAGAAACGCACAGCCCTGTGCTGTCTGTTGAACTGCATGTACCAGTCTATTCTGGTCTTGTGGTTAGAGTTGTCATCAGTCATGAATACTTCAATACTTCAATACTAGGTCAATTCATTGACTATTTGAACAATGGAAAACTTTTCCGATTATTTATCACGTCAGTCTGTTTTTACTTAATATTGCTTTGTGGTCCTGAGCCCCTACTCCACTGGTCAAAAACACAAACACCCACTGACATGTCTTTTGTCTGCAGAGGGAATGGATTCAATCTACATTCACTCGAGGGTCAAATTATGAAGTAGACACGGCAATGAACGCGCTCATATATCAAGACAGATGAGATGGGGGGGCGCCTCAGTTGTGGGTTCATTCTTGACATCGAACATGTTGCCCCAGGGACTCTCCTCTTCTGGTGATGGGAAAGAAATCCATTGCTTTTTTTTTTTAGCAGGTCTACCTGTGTTTAAAAAAACGTAAAAATGTATATCTGCTAATTGTGGTGTAAAATAGGTATTTGTCAAATGACAGCAAATGACGGACAAATCACTAAAATTAACTACATCATCTTAGGCAGTGTGTTAATGTGATGAAGTCATTCACATTACAAGTCAATTTCTTACTAATCTACAATGGCACTCAGCCCAACAGTCCCTGTAAAATGTTGGAAAACTCACAATGTTAAAGAAAGTGACATAAAAAACTAAACTGAATCTGCCCTCTGTTCTGGATCCTCACCAAAATTTGATCCATACCACATCTATCCACCAAGCTACGTTCAAATCTGTCCAGTTGTTTTTGTGCAGTGTTGTTCACAATCAAACAAATCAACAAACAAGCGGACAGGGGGAAAACATAACCTTCTTGAACGTTTTTACAGACAAAATTCGTCAAAACGTCAAAGCTGAATCTCAGCTTGTTTTGAACCAACAGGTATTTCCTAATAAGCAGCTTTTATCATGTGTAATGTGATATGCTTATGAAATACAGATAGTATTATTAATTAATATGGTTTCTGTTTCCTCACTGTGTCAGAGTGGTTCTGATGTAGGAGCACAGACCACGTTGTCTTTACCGCATCCTTTCACTTGACGAAAATCCTTTGAAAACCGTGTTTTGGTTTGGTGTTTAATTTGCACCCCCCTACACACACACACACACACACACACACACACACACACACACACACACACACACATACACACACACACAGTTTGACCAGATGGCCGTTGTGCCGGTGTGCCTGCCTCTCATGCTACCAAGAGCCCGGTTCCACCAAAGACTCGACTGAAGTCGGGCTGGAATTTTAAAAAGGTCGACGGACGCACAGGAATTGTCACTCACTCAGCCGGTCACTCGCCAGGAAGATATCTAAGCGGCCGCTCGTCCGTCATCACACTCCTCTCCCAACTCTCCAGGCTGTTGAGACATTCTTTGAAGTCCATCAAAGCGAGCTGGCAAGTTCAAGGCAGCGTTTTTTTAGACAAGGACACTATTAATGCAACAGGAGCCTCGGCTGCAAGTGTAAAAATATTTTGTCAACAAAAAATCGGGGCAAGCACGGGCAAATTAAACAGTTGATCTAAATTTGTGAGGACTACATTTTCTCTTATATAGTAATTATACTGTAATTATAGCATAATTTATAGTACACAGTAAGATGAGGTAATCTGATGGAAGAGGCACTATGCCAAAGGTTTTTTTTTGCAGGATGATTTATTTCATTCACAGCTTTTTTTAGCTTGAAAGTCAAAGCCCAGATTATTAAATGAGATGATTGGCAGGGCGGCCAAGTGGCATCGTAAATATTGTTCCAAGCCAAGAAGAGAGAAAGAGAGAGAGAAAAACCAGCACAGAAAGAGAGAGAGAGAGAGAGCGACAGTTCGAGGGTAAGCTCAGCAATGAATGAGAAAGCAAAACAATGGTCTTGTATTCAGCGTCCTCAGGCCGGATGCATTCCACCACAAGCAGCTCGGTGCGGGTGGCAGCGGGCAGGGGCCTTTGCCAGGGCTGCAGTGGGCTGCCAGGGCGGAGGCTGGCGGAGGGATCGTGCCAGTGGTGAACCTCAGACCACAACAGACGGCGCCACACACTCCGTCCTCTCATCGACTGCAAAACCCAACCGACCGCTCAGAGCTGCCGGCTGCCTCGCGTGGCCACACACTGGAGAGAGAGAGAGAGAGAGAGAAAGAGGGATATGGAGAGAGGGAGAGAGAGAGTGAGGATGGGTGGTGAACTCCTTTTGTTCTGTAAACACTGGCCTGGCCTCCCTTGAAACAATATCCCTCACCTTGACCGCAGCGAGAAAACAACACCTTTTCCATCGTAAATCACTGTGCGAGAAAACTGCTGAGTGTTGCACTGAACCACAGAGAAGTGAAGGAAATGTTGATGGTTAAAGTTTCCTCAGATCTAACTTTCAATGCATCACAAATGATTCTGTTTAGCAATAATAGCCTGCTGTTGATGCTGGCCTTTAGCAATAAATACACTCTTATACCTCTTTTACATCGAAATTAGCAGGTACTGTAAATGCAGGATTTTTAAACATGGGTTAACGCACAAAAAAGGTGATCCTCCCTCCCATTCTCTTTTCCCTTTGCCAGTAAAGGAGTTTGCCTTTCTGTTTTTGCATCATGTCCGGATGCCATGTTTCTACCGCTGCTGATTTGAGCCAGAGCTGATTCAAACCTGTCTCTACTGCAGAGCCATTTCTCATTTTTGCAGACAAAAGCCAGATGTTAGTGAGTTTTTTGACTGGTGAAAAAGGGGCTTTAGTTATAATAATGATAACAGTAATACACATTCATTTATTCATAATAAAGATTCATTCATACTGGAGAAAATGTTCATCTCAGCCTATGCACAGCCACGTGCAAAGAGTCGCCTTGTTAATCCGTGCTCAGCAGAAACGCCTGTGATGGTCAGACAGTTAACCTGTGAGTAGGGAGCGCTTAATTTGATACACTGCGCCTCTGAAACGCGAAGCATCAATAACGCTCAGTCACGCCGTCTTGTAATTAATTGTGCGTCTCCGGATGCAAGGTTGGGGGAAAAGACAGCACTCAATCTGACAACGCTGCTGACATTGAACTGCGATCGCAGCGTATAACTGTCTCCCTTTGTTTTTTCTTCTCTGTGTCCTCTGCAGTGCCCATCACCCACGGCGCGGCGGTAAACTTCTCTATGGCCGACATGCCCAGCCAACCCTACTACCACGACCTGAACTCCAGCGTGGGGCTGCACCGCTCGCTGTCCTCCCCTCCCGGCAGGTCAGTGGAAGTCACAGCAGCAGAATAATCTCTTTTGCACAGAGTTGGGGTGGAAATGTTCTTTCTATTATAACATCACAGCACTGGCAGTGTTTTATGATATTACTATTATCAAGTATCCAAGTAAGGGTTCAGTGAAGGGCAGTGCATGACAGTGGTATCAGTATTCTCGTCTGACGCTTGGCAACAGAGCAAATAATTCCCGAACCAGGATGACACTCAGTAGAGTGCATGCCACATTTATATTCAGTAGATCCAGATTTTTATTTGGATCTGCACCACATTGCATTCACTCAGAAATAGCAGCCCCCTTATCATGAAGGTACATGAATCAGGGCCCGGTCACACATACACAAGTCCGAAGCAATTGTTGTGGGTCAGATTTCACCGAAGTTGAACCCTACTTGAAGCCACACTCAAGGGGGGGGGCATAAACAATTATTAATTCACATTGAAGTTAATCTGTGACAAACATTCATTCCAACTGTCCCAAATTTCCAATTGCAACTATTAAAATCATCATATAAAAATATTAAAGCCATAAACTTCTTTATGTCTGCAGCAAAAGGCCCAAAACCGTCAACATGGAGGAGAACATGGACACGAGCCCGACAGGACCTGACTTCTACTCGTCACCCAGCTCGCCGGCCAGCAGTCGGGCAAACTGGCACGACAGAGACGGAGGTGATTTTCCTGTTTTTCCTTTGTTTACCTACATGGGAGGTTAGTCAGGCACGGACGCTGTTCCTCAGCGACGCCCTGCACGTCTCTCACACAGTTGCACAAACGCTCAAACGCAGCCAGAGCGTGTTGATCTTCCGTCCCGCTTGCAAATAGAAGGAAAAGTGAACACCTCTCAATGTGTGTTTTTACTGTCGACTGAACTCTTTTTAACTCAGCCTCGTCATGAGTTACTGTATGTCAATGCCGCCACCCTGTTCACTGCGGATGAACTGCATCTGGCTGTATCTGCACATGAACTTGTTCAACCCTCTTAAAATACATACCGTGACAAAGATAGCCCCGAGCACTGTCAGTCACATAAATGTTTAAACCCATTTCAACTGCCGAATGTAAATCTGTATTCTGTCACACCTGCTGCTTACACACAGCGCACGGAGTGTCCGCTGAGAACAAAGTGTTCCCGGCCACGCTCGCGACCCATAAACAAGAGCGCTGGTTATTTGAAGTACTGATAATCAAGTTGTGTGTTTTCAAATGTCAGGTGTAGTGTCTTCTTTATGAACAGGCATTGTGGGTGATTGCTTTGTGAGAGGCTGTTTTTAGAGAAGTTACTGTTGTAGAGCTATTTGGCCTGTGGGGCAAATCGCATCACATGATCGTCTCTCATCAGGAAACGAGGCTCTAGTCTTGGCTTGACTTTACAGAAAATGGTTGAACTTTGATGATCTTGTGCCAGTTGTACTGTACAGAACCAGTTGGAGAGGAAGTTAAAAATAAAGCTCATACACGGAGAGAGATGCACCTTTCGGAGAAACAAGTGTGCTTGCGAGAGAAAAAGTCTCATTACGTCGTCTCCTGGTGCTGCTGGAATGGTTCATTTGACGACAGGGACATGCAAAATGATCGGAAACGTCCCGACTTTTCCCTCAACGGGGCGCATTGTGGTTTTAGCTTTTGTTTGAACTGTGTACACCTCTTCTGTTGTGTTTCTATGCAGCTCTATTTTTTTGTTTTAATGTAATAAGTAGAAAGGCACTCGTGGGATTTAACCACAGCCCAATGTGGGTACATTGAAATTTCAGTGCGTCCCATTGCACAAGGCCTGACTGTTGCTCTGCGTAAACTTAGACACTTGGGGTGAGGAGAAAGGGAAAGCAGTGGGTAGGAAACTCTCCAGAGACAGCCATTATTCTGTCAGGGGAGAATAAATGAGAAGTGGGGTGATATTAAACCCATATGAGGCCGTTACATGTGCCAAGCGGTCATTCCTCGCACATGGTTGTCATTCGGCAAAACCTCACTATGTAGGAAGACATAGTTTCTCTCGTGCATTTTCTCAGGGAAAATTCAGTTTGCTTAAAATTCTGGAGTTTTTTTTTGATTTTTAAATATTCTCGAACACAATCAACCATTTAATACGAAATAAATCAGATCACAAATGACCATTAATCTGATTTCAATGCAAGAACACTTGCCTCAGACCACAACAGACGGCGCCACCTTTTTTTATCTAAACTAATTAAAGTGTTTGATTTTTGGTAATTAATTGTCCTGTGTAATATCCCCAAGGCAGTCCAGCGTTTTCTCTGAAGAATTTAATTAGTGAGCTAAAGCCGAACACCTCCACCACAGAGAGTATTTCCTATTTTCACATGGAAAAACCGTCAATCTTCTTAAAAGCTATTTCTCCGTCTGACACAAATATGAAAACATTCAAGCCTGTATCCTCTTGCAACCTCAGACTGGGAAATCCCCCTGAATTCCAGCCACCTTTTGTCGCTCTCTCTCTCTTCTCTGGAAACGAGTGATTCTTCCCGTTGCTCGGGTGGATCCTTCCCCTGTTGTGGGAAAGCAGTTTATGCCGCAGAGGGGACGTTTTGAAAGTTATACTCCCTGAGAATCTGTGACGTAGCAGAGAAGGACTTGATGAATGTTCGCGGGCCACTGACCCTCGAATTTTTTTGTTATCACGTTCCCCTCGGACACCGTGGAAAATTGAAAACTGCACGTTCGTGACGGCAGCAGAGCATTGCTCATGAAAGTGTCGAGCAGCAGTAATGAGCAACTTGTCCCAATTTCTTATCTTTAGCTGAGCCTTAGCCGAGATTATTCATGGGGAATTAGAATAGCTTGTCCAACAGCGTGTAAGGCCGAGGTGAGCAGATGTTATGTTGTAATAGTCAATTAAAGATTACGTCAGGGTCTTGAAATTCCTAAATCCTCTTTTGAGGGACCAACTGTACACCACAGTGTACTTAACTGTTTGTCAGATCGCTGGATTTAATTGTTCAGCTCAGACGTGACAAAAGCAAAATTACCACAGGTCCACCACCGTTTCTCTGCTATGACCAGTACATTTGTAATGATACAACAGATTATATTTGATTTTGAACTTTTGCAAAGTCTTTAATTTGCAAACTCTGTCTTCATTGCCTACTTCATTTGTAGAAGAAATATATCCTAGTTCAATAACTGCTTAATTTCAGTCATAATTCACTTTTGGCATTTAATTTAATTTTAATTTACTTATTTTCACTGATTGAAATGGAAGCAGTGTTTTGATTCATTTCATTCAGCAACAAAACCATTAAAGAAAACTTGTTTTTTTGCATTAGTGAGTCATTTGATTTCATTTCCCTGTAAGGAGCTATTTGATGCTACGCACAAGTCGGGACAATTTCCTCACTTTGGTGTTTCTCCTCTTTAGTTGCAATTATACCAAAATAAATAATAAAAAATATATAATTTGTAACAATTCTTCATTAACGTGTCCAAAAATGACTAGACCCGTGTGATATATTTTTTGACTTGTGTAGGGACGTTAGGCCCGAAATGCTGTAGAACCATGTAGGACCCCCACATGCAGTTTTTATGGACAATGTTTCCAACGATGTGTAAATCCTGAGAAATCCTTAATTTCCTTCAATGTGATGTGATGTTTCATTTTGGTCAGTTTTTAATTCCATCATCTCGCTTTGCCAGTTGGATTTTCCCATCTCTGCTTCTTGGGAAAACAAATGTAACGAGAATAAGACTTTAATGCATTACCTCATCCGTGAACGGGATTTGCGTCTAAGTCTTGTCAAGTAGATTTTGACAACACCCATGATTCCACACTGCTTCACAACATCGTCAAACTACGTTGTTTGTTATTGTTTTGATTGAGAGACCCCTAGCGCCTTAAGTTACATATTGTACGTTAAAGAACAATAAGGCATCTAAGCATCTATGTTTTTGTGTTTTTTTCCTACTAGCAGACATGTCCTCTCCCACCATGAAGAAGCCGGAGAAGACGCTGTTCAGTCCAACCTCTCCGCAGGACTCCTCACCACGACTCAGCACTTTCCCTCAGCCTCATCACCCAGGCCTAACAGGTGTAGGACACAGTGGTGAGTTACCCGGTGACTTAAAAACCACCATCCAGCTTGAGCTGAAGCCTTAATGGACATTCTCTTCATAAACGCAGTTGGAAAAAAAAAAATCTATGTCGATACTTAATTTAGACGCGCAGATCGATGATGATCGCTTTATCTTAACTCCCTCTGTACCCCACAGACACACACGCTCAATCTTTATCTCCCTCTCAACTCTCCTGTCTGTCTCTCTGGCAGTTATATCGACGAGGAGCCCCCCTCCACACTCGCCCCTGCAGTTCCCGGCCTCGGCTATCTTGCCCCCGGCACCTTCACCCTACTTCTCGCACACCACCATCCGCTACCCGCCCCACCTCAACCCTGCCGATCCCCTCAAGAGCTACGTGCCGTCATACGACCCGTCCAGCCCACAGAGCAGCCAGGTCAGTCTTCTTCTTCTTCCTTTTCTTTTTTGTGCAGTCTTTGAAGAAGCCAGAAGTCTGAGGCTCCTTTCACTTGACTTCATGGCCTCAAGTGGTGTTTTGTTACCTTGTTTGGCTTCACTTCTATCTGACCTCAAGAGATTAACGATTAAATAAGTTCCAGCATGCATTTGTCATTATTTCATTAGTAGTGCATTTGCAAGTTGAGAAACATCATCCTGTTTTTCCTGTGTGTTTTTTTTTCTTTTATGTGAAACCTGCTGCCGGTCATTCTCTTCATTTATAGCATAGGTTACAATTAAATTTAAATTCTTGGTTCCTGGTTCAATTTCTGGCTCCTGCAGATTGTGTTGAAGTGTCCTCGAGCAAAACACTGAACCCCTGAATGCTCCAGATGCTGTGTATGAATGCGTGTGAATGTGTGAATGAGACACACGGTGTAAGGTGCTTTAATGTGTTTCCTGTATTAGTCTCAAGCCCAAAAATTCATATTACAAGCTAAGCTTAAGGTGACCAAAGTTTGGGAACCATTAAATAGACCCTTCACGTGGAGATGTGATATTGGTCAGAGAGAATAATTCAAATAAAGAACTAATTAATTCGAATAATTTACAGAGAATTTATTAGATAATACTGAAGTTTTTAATTTTGCAGCCGTCCCCAGATTTAAAAGCCACTTCTTGAGTTTAACTCTCATAGATAATTTTATAGCACAGTTTTTACAGCAAAAAACCCACCAGTTGACTCCAACCAAAAAGTCAACCAAACTATTGCTCTCGCAGTCGCATGTGATACGCAAAACTGTATCGAGTCATTGTAGTAAATCAAATAGCTGAGGGCTTTATGTTCTGGGTACACACTGCGGCCTGTGTGTGTGTGTGTGTGTGTGTGTGTGTGTGTGTGTGTGTGTGTGTGTGTG